GTCGGTCTGTCGGTCTGTCGGTCTGTCGGTCTGTCGGTCTGTCGGTCTGTCGGTCTGTCTGTCTGTCTGTCTCTCTCTCTCTCTCGCTCTCCCTCTCCCTCTCCCTCTGTCTCTAGCACTCTCTCCTTTTCCATCCATTCTGACTCCAAATGCAAATTATACTAACCATTAAGCTTGCGCATCATCGACGTTTCACCAAGACCTCACCCCGCTTGCCCTTACTCTCCTCACTTCGTTCGCTAAACAACTCTCACCTAGCCTATCGGCTGGCGTTCGTGATGGAGGGCAGAAGTAGCGCTGGCACTGCGTGTTGGAGGGCTTTGGAGCAAATCCAGGTAAACTGGTGATGTTGAAGTGAAAGAAGCCGAGTGGAAAGAAGCAACAAAATAATCAGAGATTTGCATAGGTGAACGTTGCGCTCTCTCACTGGCAGCAAATGTTGAAGCAAGGGTGCGAAGTGAGCTCACCAGGTCAAAGTGAGTGCACATGGCTGGACACTACAGGAACTGAGGGGTCGCTCTATTTGCGGAATGTCAGGTTCATTTGACCCCAGTGCATGTTTGCTAAAGCTACCTTTTGCGAGTTGCGTCACTCAAAACACTCTGAGTTCAGGTTAAATGTGCAAGAAAAACATGTAGCAAACCAGTTGACACTATGGTACATTCCCTCTATTCATTATGTTATAATGCGTGCGCAAGTATTGATGCCAAAATCGACAGCATGCATAATGTTCAATATGTTTACGCTTAATAGGGGCTGACAAAATGTGAGTGAATGTGAAAAAGAATGTGATCTAATACGATCTCAGTCTCCCTCACCAGCCCTCACCTCCTGACCCTGGAGCAGCATAGGAATGCCCGGTGCAGTCATCACCAGTACCAGTCCTCTGTTTCCCATGTCTAGGACGGAGATTTGGAAGACTGGACATGTGCATGGATTCTGTGATGTCTCAAACTGCACCGCCTAGAGCAGCTCTGCGGGCGGCAAAAGGATTCTGTGTCACCTGCACAAAGGATTCGACAGGATTGAATTTCAAGGCATACAGTATCGGGATATGATGGGGATATGTGTCTCCAAATGACTTGAAGGCCAACACTGAAGGCAACACTGGCAATAACATCAAAGGCTCTAAAATCCAAAAGGATCGTGCACCAAGTTGTGTTCTTGCTGCTGATATGATTGCTCGTTCTTGCCACAGTAAGGTGTCCTATCAATGTCTTTGATGGGAGAACAGAAATGGGAAGCACAAATACATGGAATACGTTCCAATTAAAATAAGGATGACGTCCTCTCATACTGCAAACAGCATGTTTTCAGTGCTGCCAACAAAGGCTCGAAGGGCCAAGCAATTTGGCTATTGTCCTGGTAGGCATTGCAAACATCGCGTTTGGCGTAAACAGAATTGATGAGGCGCAGCCCAGGGCGTAGTCACACCCACATCCGGGAAGAGATATCAATTGGGGTCCGGATTTTATTTTGGAATTACTCTTTTTGGTTTGGATCTGTTCTTTTTGTGCTCTTGGCTGCTGTCTTATAAAGGAAAAGGGAAAAGGAACAGGAAAAGAGAAGGAAACGGAAAAAGAAAAGGACGAGCAATGGGCAAGGAAAAGGAAAGGGAAAGGGAAAAGGAAAGGGATTAAGAAAAGGGTAAACACAAAAGGAAAGGGAAAAGGGACAAGGAAAGGGAAAGGGAAAAGGACATGACATGAAAGGTAAAAGGAAACGGAAAAGGCAAGAGGAAAAGAAAAGCCAACAAAAGCCAAAAGCCAACACAGAAGCCACCAAAAGCAACCGAAGCCACCAACAAAAGCCACCAAAAGCCAAAAGCCAACAGAAGCCAAAAGCTAACGCAAGCCACCAAAAGCCAACCGAAGCCACCAAACGTCCACAGGAAGGGTCGAGACATTGATCGGGATTTTTGTTGTTTTTTAATTTGGGATTTCTATTTTTGGTGGTCTGTGTGGTTCTCAATGGGAAAGGCATTACAAGTAGAGATTATGTCTAGAAGAGTCATCAAAAGCAAAGAATGCAATAGAAAACTCATCAAAATATATATTTCAATATAACAGTCATAAAAAATAGCGATCTTACCAGAAAAGTTATCAAAAGTTGCGATTGTGATGGGTAAAAATGAGAGATTGTGACTAGCAAAGTCATCAAGAGCAAAGAAATCGGTGGACAATTCATCAAACATGTTTCAGCAGAAAAGTTATCAAAAGTAGAGATGTTGACTAGAAAAGTGCATCAAAAGTAGATATTTTGAATAGAAAAGTTCTTTAAAACAGAATCCACTAGAGAAATCAATAGGTAAGTCACAAAAAGTAGAGATTTCGGTATAGAAGAGGCATCTTGATAGAAATGTCCGCTGAACATCAAAAGAGTGGGAGGGGGTGTGGGGGAGAGCGCACCGCGCGCTCCATTCTCAAAGTGAAGGCCCCTCTCTAAGAAAAGAGAGAGGGAAAGACAAACGAAAAAAGACAATGCTCATAAAGAGCGGGAGGGCGCAGCGCCTGCGCCGCAATGAACACTGCCACAAAACCCACACAGAAACCAAAAGCCACAAAAGCCAAAAGCCACAGAAGCCAGAAACAGCAAAAGCCACAGAAGCCAAAAGCCACCAGGAAAAGTCTTAAGTCGTCCGCCTTTCTTCCCCTCAAAGAGAATTCCCGGCAGCTCTTCCAAGGCTACCTTTCATGATATTGCGAAGGCCAAAGCCTTGCAGAATCCACATGCAGGCTGCTAGCAATGATGGAGAGCGCATGGGGAGCTGTTGATGATTCGTGAAAACATGTGAAGACATGTCAATGTGCGCAATGTGAAGACTATGAGTAGACGTGGGAGAAAGGGGAGCTTGGCAATGCGCAGCAGTGAAGAATTTGACAGAAAAGCACCCGTACTTACGCTTGTGCCAATGACTCAATTGCACAGATTGCCTGGCTTGGGCTCGAAAGGTTTGACGTGCGCGATTGGTTGGGTGGTTTTCTGGGGTGCCACCTCCTCCAAAATGAACTGACATGCCAAAACAAACAGACCCCAAGGATGAAACTGGTTAGTGGCCGCATTTCTTCTTCCCTTCCATTTCCCTTTCGCGTCGTTTCCTCCTTCTTCAACTCTCCATTGACTTATTCTTAGCTCATCCTCTTGCCTCTTCTTCATCGGGATATGGCATCGATCCACCCACCTTAGCATCACAGGATCAACTTGACGAGCTTTGACGGGTGTATATCAACAACACAGTGGACATTAGTGGGCCACCAACAGTCCCTGCCAAGTGTAAAGGTCAGTGTCCCAACTGTGACTTGGTCGTACGACGTCGTGATTTCATTTAACACACTGGTGACACACTCGATTCCTGCAAGCTGACTATAAAGTGTCTCAGGGAGCAGCCTGCTGGAAGGCATCACCCGATTCCTGCGACGAAGCGGAGCTTCTTTTTGACTCAGCAAGTCGTCATGTTCGAAGAGAACTTGGATGAACGCCCATCGGACAATGCTTGTCAATATGGGTTTAGTTGGCCGGTAGTCCAGTGTCGGACTTTCAAACCATCTATACCCGTGACTTTAAACTCGGGCCTCTGCGCCCTCTGGCAAGAAAGACCTCCCGTTGTGGACGGCTGCAGGCACCTTACCGAAACCAAAGTATGTCATAGTGCCATAGTACGCTGTAAGCATACAAGAATTGAGGGATTTTCAGGGCATGATTGGATGGCTCATTTTCACGGATGAACTTAGCAAAACTTCTTTGCATATCTTGCACCACGTTGATTTTGATCATGCCAGGGTCAAGTTAAAGCCGTGGGTCAGGCACCAGCGGGTTTTTAGGCTTCAGGCACGGCCATACCGATCACAGGCTGCAGTGTCGTGGCTTTCCTTGAACCGGAGTTGCAGAAAGATAATCAAATAGGATATGATTTTTTTCAATATTTCAAGAACACAGCAACAAACATACACTACTAGGGGCTCCTGGCATCGCTACTAGTAGCATTCTTACTACTAGTAACAAAACAGCTATTTTGTGGATCCTTGACGCTCATTGATGCTGCAGGGACATCGGAGCGGCAAAGTGAATCGAAAAAGCTCAGCCAGCAAGTGACTACAGTAAGAGCCCAACCATGAAGACCTCAAATCAAGATAGCTTTGGGCGGAAACAAGCATATGTTCCTTGTTTTTGGTGTGGATAGCAATCAAGGGCCCTGCCACTCTGCCACGTAAAGCGTGAGATCCTTGCATCCAACAAGCTTTGGTCCGTGTGGAGCGCACGGCAGATGTCGTACAATGTCGTGGATCAGCTCACAACTCTCAAGGCGGCGAAGCTAGGTTTCCCAACGACCCGGAGCGAGGCCAACCAAGCCCTTTACAACCATGTGAACCTGTCGACACCTCGCATGGCCAAATGTGAAAATCCGCTAAGTAGTTGACTTGGGCCACGACTCATCAAATGGGCTCACCAAAGCATCATAAATCCTGCAATCGGAATTGAGCAGAACCCTCTACACTCCATACACTAAGTCGAGGTTAGTTGCATGGATCCCACGCAAACACTCCTGGACTGTAGGGTCGCCTATGTGGAGAGTCGTTTCCCCGAGGTGCAAAGGCGTGGCTACGTGGACTGGCTGGTAGGCTACATTAGGCTACTAGGAGGATGTGCACTCAAAAAAACACTGAAGCATTGAGGTTTCCACATGATTCAAGCCACCAGCTCAGCACTTCCCAGAAATGAAACGCCGGCAATATGAGACCATCCTTGTATATAGATTCAAGATGATTCAAGATGATTCAAGTATATCGATTCGAGAAGACCAGGTATTCATCGCACCGGCCTCACACAGATCGAAAAGTCTAAACCATTAGAATTGCTTATTAGTACCGTCCTTGCTCCTCGTACCGATGCGCTTTGTTACTAGTTGCTTCTTGTTCCTAGTAGTAATGCCAGGAGCTACTAGTAGCGTCCTTGTTCCTAGTAGCGAAGCCCTTTGTTCCTAGTAGCATTCTTGCTACTAGTAGTAATGCCAGGAGCTACTAGTAGCTCCTTGCTCCTAGTAAACCAATAGAATTGCTTATTGAGTCTTATTGATCCGATCAACATGGGTAAAAATTCAGTGAGGGCGCTTGGCAGCTGGCTAGAATCAAATGGGAGATTGATCGAGGTTGTGCACGTGCTTCATAAATGCAAGTTTCGCCAAGTTGGATTGCCAAGGATTGTACCAGGTACAAGTACTTGCCAATCTACCTCCAACCGTCGCCTCACAGTCAACGTTTAGAACCCCGTCCAGCAAAAGAGCGCCATATCCCATTGCAGGTGGAATCCAATGCCACCCCACCTGGAGTGGTTGCAATTGTTAGGGGAAAACATGTCATCAGCAAAGCCGACTAAAATCTGCGGCAATTCTATGGATAAATGGTCCAACCGATATGGTTTCTCCATTTCTCCAAATTGTTTGAACTCTCAATCTAGGATACTGAACGAAACGTGCAACTGTGTAACCAAAGGCCGTTGCTGCAGAAGACCGTCGCCATCCTCCAAGTCCTCAGCAATGGCCTCATCAAAAAACTATGTCAAGCTGCAAGTCGTCCGGTCCAAGCTCTCTGAACATGTTGAGGAAAGGTCGAATGGGTGCAATATAACATCAATTGCAAAGGACGATTACTTGGCGATGCTGAAAGGGTACCACATCTGTCTGCAAGTACATCAGTGTGCTGGAAGCTGAGGGCAATGCAAGTTTGCCTTCCTTCCTGTAAAGAACAGTGTGCAAGCAAGATTGCATGTAGGCTTTAGATGAGATTCAATGCATGCACAATCTTGAAGCACTTTCAATCAGGCAATGGAGCTTCACCTTTGTTCAAGGTAGTTGGTTGAAAAAGAAGTTCAGCTTCACGCCGGTTGAACCATTGGAAAGATCGGGGATAAACAACTTACGTTACCATTGAGGTCCCCAAATATAAACAGCTTCGAAAACACTTCCTAGATCCCTTTAGAGCAAACTCACTGCTGAGGGTCTCTGGGACAGCACCTGCAAAGAGCTGCAAGCTCTGCCAGCAAGATGGCACCCCAGGTGTCCTGCTCGCCTGACAGCTGTTTTCGGACCAGGAGGCAGGCAGCTTTGAGACATGTCAAATCCAACAGAACAGGAGAAGCAGTGAGACGAAACAATGAGAAACGTGCATAATTCCACAAGATTAATGCAACACCGACTTCAAGAAATCCAAGGTGTAAGTAGTCTTGCAGAACCTCAAAGCAAATGAAACACTAGGCCTGTTGGAAACTTTCGGATGGATTTCGTAGAGTCAACACGAATGCCATCCACGCCAATACCTTGAACAGAAAGACTTGAACAGCAAGATGCCCCTGATAATGACAAGTGCTGTAAGATTGTGGTTCAAGCTGGCAGAATCAGAACAAGTCATCGTTCGCACGGAACGGTCAGCGAAAAGACAACGCATCAAACATGCAGTCACACTCAGCAGCTCACGTTGCAGCAGGAGCTCAGCGGCAGCTAGAATGTATCTCTGCACCTGGGCGCTTGCTCCTTGCTTGTTTGATGCAATAAGAAGCAAGGACTTGAAACAGTATGATTGCCAACGCTTCGATGCCAAACCGGTTACTTTCTGCTCTGAAACGCACTCGAAGCGTTTTATGAACTGCCCCGGCCTCTGGCTTAGAAAAATCCGGGCGTGGACCCCAATGGGTTTCCTGAAATACGTGTCGCAGTGTGGATGTCAAGAGCAGCGAGCTCTCTGTGCAACATGCAAGAATCCCTCAAGCTGCTAAAGTGTAGTAACAGCACAGACTGAGAATGAGAAGGATCTTGGAAACGTTGGAAACACGAGCTCTGATGTTCAGCCTTCCAGGAGACTTGTTCATCTTGCTCAATTTCTGATAAACCATGACAAATCAGCAAAATTCACCATTGACTATTGACCATGTATATTAGTATATGGTTGAACTCTCGACAGCTGGTGCCCTAGATCTGCCTCTTGTTGGAAGAGCTGCGGTCCGTACAAATATGTAGCACCTGAAAGCATATCGCATCAGTTGTCGGCGGAAAAAGGTAACATTGCAGCCCCTTTCCCTCCAAAAAACCAAAGACACACACAGGATATCTAACAGAATCTAACAACTCTTTCAAAGGCTTGTTCTCCTAAGAGCCCATAATCTTAAAGCAACAGTCACAGAACAAATTCCAAGACTCCGCGCCCCACATCATGTGATTGAACACGAAGTCGATGAAAACTGCCATTCCTAGCCTCAAGTCTCAGGCTATTGAGACCCAAAGGGTCTTAATCTCTCACGACTTATGTGTAGTTGTTTTCTCTGATTGTCTACAACTTGGGTCTTTCTCACCATGCTCAACTGAAGGGCCCTAATTGACACAAACTTAAGAACTCCAACTGCGCCAAAATGCAAACATGGCCAAATACCGGATTGGCCCTGAGTGGCCCATGAAACCTGTTCCGTGAAGAATTCCGGTTGGCCCTTGAACATGCCAAAGAACCACGCCATTGGTGGGATTTATCTTCTGATATGCATCTGTTGTATTCAAAGCGTTTGTGCCGAGCAACTCAAGGTTGACTCAGCTAAAGTTCTAAGGTACCACAAAATCTATTCCATCCTAATCCGGGGTTAATTGAATCAAAAAGAGATGGGTTGAATCAGCCACAATTTATTTCACAAAGAATGATGTCTGGACCTCCATCTTCGATGAATGAATTCTCCAGAAACCGGGACTGCTGAAAAACTATGCCAACAATTACATACACAGTATGTATGTATGATGTGTAGCATAGCATTGTATGATGTTTGCTTTCTTCCTCTTCTGATCTTTTTTTGCCAGCTCCTATTTAATCAAGTACTGTAAGTAAACACGCTACTAGCAATAGGAAGCTCCTAGCTAGGACGCAGGATAGCTCACGCTTTCTTGAAGAAGCGCTCACACTAAAGATTTGGTTCCTAGATTTTTAGGGACACTACTGCCAGTGTATCTCTTCGTGGTGTTCTCGGGCCTCTTCACATACTCTGCATGTTTCAAACCCGCTTTCCTTCCCGGAAGAGGTCTGAATCTAGACCCAAAAATGCTAAGCGGCTGCAACACTTGATATCTTCCTTTCAATGTAAGGTTGGACCGTCTCTTTAAGCCTTAGCTCTTTGTCTGAGCGGTCCTTGTGGTCCTGCGGTCTTTTTCGATTTTTAGCTTTACTTCTTCAACTAATTGATGTAGGCACGATGGCAAGTCCAGGTTTCTGTCCAACTGCATAGGAGCTTGTGCCCCGAGTGTCTAAAGATTTAGCTATATACATTGAGAATCAATGAGATCTCAGTTTGAAATACAACAGCGCCAAAGCTTGCCATCGCAATCTGAAAAGCCCTGGAGAGTGTGATGCTCGGGAGGGAGGAGCAAGAGCAAGAGAAGGACCAGCAGCAGTGAAATCTGAGCAGCCACAGAAGGAGCATTAGTAGAAGGAGCAGCAAGAGGAACACGTTCTCAAAACCAGTCTTTGGTGCGGAACCTCAGCTAGTCATGATGGTAAGCTCTCAAAACAAGGCTTGCACCAAATTCATCACAAAGGAGTGCATTGTACGAGGTGTACAGTTCATGCACCCACCACGAAATCTGAGCCTTCCAGTGAACATCGTCTCAAAAGTCAAGCGACGCTTGGGACCAAAAAGCTCTTAGCAGCGTCGTTGCTTCTAGTAGCGATGCTAGTAGCGTCCTTGCTCCTAGTAGCGATGCCCTTTGCTCCTAGTAGCGTCTCTTCAGAGATCTAATTCCATATATACTTCCACTATACTATACAAACCACCCAGTTCAAACCGGTTCAATAGATATATGTAAATCCACGTCACTACACGTGGCCCTCGTCGTTTACAAATTGGTGACTGGCACTTAAACATCATTTACATAAGTTATCATACTGTAAGTTTTACATAAGCTTAAAAAACAATAAGCTGGGCATTCTCCTCTTGAAGCCCTGGGTCTCGGACGTGTGCGCCTTTTCCACAAAGCGCAAGAGATCATCCAGCGTGCCATAGTGACCATCCACCTCAGAAGATTTTTTATAGAGGCAACACCTGTTGGGATAAATGCAAAGCAAATGCAAATGTAAAACTGTTTGGAACCCTTGGAGTTACATACTCATCTCCATCTGCTTTCAGCAAATCGCAGGGGCTGCGGCGGCAACGAAGGATATCACATCATAGCCTTGGAGGATCGGGAGGTCATTGCTGCAACGCAAACTAGTACATAGCTGTTTCAGTGACCAGAAGGCACCATTGATATGGCCATTTTGCCGGACCGCTTGGAGAATAAGCTATAAATAACAAACTGGACCAAGGCTATGATCATCAAAGGGTCCAAACAAGTATAATTACATCAATTCCACCGAACACCCAAAGCATCATAGCATATCTTATCTCAAGCTCTCTCTCTCTCTCTGTGCTGGAGATTCAACGCCCAGGCCATGACCCCAGCGGTCAACTTCACCACTGCTGAGACGCCGCCTCAAGCATAATTGCTGAGAAATGTTGATCTGGGGCTGGCATAGATCAAGTGGACGAAACCAATCAAGTGTTGCTGGCGAAAGGCCTGATCACCTGAAGGTGCATTGCGTCATAGCTTGTGCACTTAAACCTTGGGGCCAAGCGCGTCTTGATGAAGTGGCCTGGGCTCACTCACTCTTGAACATCGCGCTCTCTCTCTCTCTCTCTCTACATATACATTTGTATGTATAGTTAATAGTTGTTTGTGAAATGTCGGATCCCACATTGGATTCAGCTATGCACCAAAGCTGCTTCCTGACAACATAGGCTCGGGCATAACGGAAATTGCTGTACAACCTCACACGAAAGCAGGCCACGTAGAGATTATACAGCATCCTCTCAGGAACAACGTTAGTTGCTCAGTCACACTTTTTGTAGCTCAGTCATTGAGCTCTAGTCAGTCGAATTGAGCTCATGACCCAAATCCTTGATATGGCTCAGCTTCTCGGTCGCCTCTCTTAGGGTGCCACTTCCTGAGCAGCTCCGACAAACCAAGAAGGTCAACTTAGGACTGGCTAAGCCCGTCACTGGTGAAGCTACCGATATGAAGCTCATAGAGAACTAGCCTTGGCTTCTGATCGTCTTTCTCTGACGGTCTCAAGGTACGCAGGGCTTCCCAGATCTTTCTTCAGCTTGCCTGAAACTCTCAGCTCTAAGCTCGCGGTCTGCACATCGTTGAAAAACAGGTGCAGGTTGCAGCATGACAGGCTGAGCCGGGTGAGCCGGTGCCGTTTTCGACATTTGCGAACTGGGCAACTAATTTATGTAACTATGTTAAACTGCTCAAACACAATCTCTGGGAGCCAGCACAGATTTTTGGCTCCAAAAGCGAGGGCCCAGCGGTATTTGAACCTCGATGAAAAAGCCCTGCATTCGATGTGAAGGTACTGAAGATATTGAAGGCTGCAAAATGTGTGGCACACATCATCTAGCCTGACTGTTTCTTCAGTGTCCTAAAGTATGCACAAACATGCGTTAACTAACTAGACATAACCAGACCATAAGTTGCACTTTACTGAGGACAAAGCTTCATCCTGCGCCCCTTCGGTCCTTAAAGAGCTTGCACGGTCTCAGCGTCATTCCATGTCTGCATGTCGAGCTGAGGGAAGAACCCAGGGAGTGATCCTTCCCAGCCATCACCCGTGTCTCGTTGCAATGCGTGGGCCTCTGAGTGCTCTGGGTCGAGTGGCGTCCAGTCATCGAGAGATTGCGCAATTTCCACTGCTAAACTGGACTGGGCAAAGCACAAAGGCATCCGCCCTCCAATCTCTTCGATGCCTCATTTTGGTACAATCAGATTATCAGATTGTCGACTAGGTATGACTAGGTCCTAGGTCAAAATCATTCAAAATCGTGTCCATCGGATTTGCTTATATAATTTGCTTGTCTTTGCCAGAACACCTCCACTTCTAGCAGCTGCTTGTTGGTGAATTGGTGTTGACCGCCTTCCCATTCTGGGGCTCTGGCACTTGCACAATGAACTCAGAAGATCCATCGATGGTAAAATCAACGGCATCGCCAAGCCTGATCATTAGTCTTGGTAAACAAGTGCTGGCAAATACACCTGCATCATTAGCCGTGTCATGAATCTCTGAATGGGTGCCCCGACCATTTGCCAGGTACTGGGCCAGCTTCTACAACTTCTTCACATTGTAGGGTTCTCGGTGAAACCGCCTGCAAGCAAAAGAACTGCTTGCATTCGATCACGCTGAGTTCGGCGTGGAGATGCACGGATGCACTCAGGAGAGAGCATGGATGCATTTTAGCGAAGCTGATGTTCAATATCCACAATTCCATCATTTTGGAGGATGGCTGATTGCTAGGAGCGAAGCTCAATGGACTTGAGCTGCAATGAAATGATGTGGCGAACAGTCACCAACAACCCTGGGACAGGCTTGTCCTGTGGGTTTGGCTTGCGACTATATTACTATATGTATATAATTGAGCGGATGTTCACTTGAGGCCATGGGGATGAATGAAAGCTAGCTACCTGGTTCTATGTCACAAAGGAGATGTCATATTGGCATACATTAATGGCTTTCTGAGCACATCACAGCAGTTTTGTGGCTTGTGGGAAAATATAGAAGTCGAAGAAGCGCTCGTGTGATCGCTGAATTTTGCCAGTTTATGTTCCCGTGGTCTCCAAGCCTGGCCCACTTACCCTGTAACTTATTGTTGGCAAGCTTGCCGCCCTTGTTTGGGGATTGCCGCTGGACCTCAAAAGCAAAGCCAAAAAATGCCAAAAGCCTAGATGTGCTTCCCATGCGGAAAACCTCAACTCAAATAACTCAGGCTTGCAACATGTAGGTCACAGTGAAGGAACCAGGAACATTATTTTATACTCAGGCCATAGTCTTCAACTCCCACCCAGCGTCAACATCATGCACGTTGGGAAATCTGAGCCACAAAGGACTGGCACACGAGTTTGTTCATGTTTACACCTTGTTGTCGTGATACGTAGGTGATACACTGCCATTCAAGGCTTGACATTGACAAGCTACAGATTGGCAATGAAATGTGATTGAACTTTCAAGCCTTCGAGGGGGCCAATGACTGGCTAAACCGCATCATGTGTTCTCAGGTTCTTTGTCTCTTTCGTCTCTGAAACTATGAAATTGGGGGAACCGCAACAGACCCAACAAGCAAGAACAAGACTCTTTTTCCGGTGGACACAAAGCCCCCATCGAGTCTCTGGCTCCTAAGTGCTTGCCTTGAGTCGAGCGTGGGCGTCCAGTGCATTTTCACACCGGCCCTACTCTAACGGCCAAGCGAGACCAAGAGAACGTCATGCGTGGTGCATTGTGTTCTATGGCCTGTTTCGGAGAGTGACCAGTAACCACTGTTGCAAACACACCTGAGAAATCCGAGTTCATTTTCTTAGTAAGGGGATCCGCGATCATGTTATCACCAGCAACCCAACGTAGGGAACCCCCTGATCTATAGAGATCATCCTTTAGTATGGCTATGTCTATAGCCGTTCTCTTGTCCTCTACTTGAGAGTAGGTACACACCAGCTTGTTGATGCAGTCGTATAGCGACCGAGAGTCAACTACGGAGACATAGGGGATGGATGCCAAATGCCGCTCCCAGTCCTTGGTCTCCATGGTCGTGCCCATCAGTTCGAGGAGGAGGTAGCGGTGCCAGTGTATATGGCCAATGCCATGTACCAGCGACTGGCATTCTGCGCTCAGGGTGTTGACTGTCTTCCTTTTGAGCTTTGTTGATTTCCATGAGGTCACGGAAACCATGTGAGGTCGATCTTCGGATTCCATTCTCTTGTCATAAAAGATCATCACATAGCCTCCTTGGCTGCTGCAATTGAGGAGCTTGAGGAAGGTGTCATTGATCTTTCCATGTTCCAACGCGTGTCCAGGAAGCTGTTTTGTGAAGATGGTCTTTCCGGTCCAAGGTGAGTCCGTCCAAGTTCGGACACTATTTCCTTTTGTCCATTCATCTTCTAGGGCTTCTTCGTTTGTAGTCATCGTTCTGCGACCTGGTTGTAGATCGTGAAGATCTGGTCCTGGATCGGCTCCTGGATGGAATAGGACTCTTCTGGGAGTGACATGATGTCGAATCCAGTGTGAGGATTTCTCTTCCCAGTAGTCTTGTGAGCTAACTTCCAACTGATCCTGGCTTTTGGCGTTGGACCATGATGCGTCCGTTGCAACTCCGATTCGCAGGTTCTCTGGTTGGATCGGCATGATCTTGATGCCGCTTGAGGGGTGTCTTCGAGCCTCCTGAGTGATGGAGTTTGCCTCGATGATGTCCTTGATACGAGGCTTGGGAAAGACCTGCTGAAGCAGAGCTACTCTTCCGGCCAAGTCGGGCCTGCTTTCCTTGGCAAGCCAGGCAAGGGCGCCGATGCTGGCTCGTAGTTGGGTGATCTCCTTGTCGTCACAAAAGGTGTATCTCTTCTTCTTTCGTTGTTTTTCCAGGTTGATCTCAAAGAGCTTCTCCTGGACGTAGTTCTCCTGGTTCACGATGATGCTCGAGTCCTCTTGCTGAGTGAACATTTTTCCAGTGAACTTTCCTGATCCATACTGGAATTTTCCAAGCTTATATTTCACTTTGATCTGGTCCATAGCTTTTTGATGTTCGTCGTCACCTCCATGTAGAAGGTCATCCGTAGCGACTGCAATGACGCCGCTGAGGATCGGTTTACCAGTGTTTGGACAGTTCCGATGCTTGTAGTAGATGCATGGATCTGCTAACGACTGCTGGTAGTGCAGTTGGCTGGTCAGGAACTTCTTGAGATGATTGTACCATGCCAGTGGGCCGTCAGTCAGCCCGTAGCAAACCTTCTCGAGTTTGAGGAGTTGGCACGGTGCGACACCAGGGATACCTTCACGAGGTGGAGTTGCATAAAGAAGTCGTTCAATTGCGTCTCCACTGTGGAATGCCTGGGTGAAGTCCAAGAAGCCGAGCTTCCAACGATGGCTTGCCACCAGTTGGGCGACCATGAGAGTCCCTTCTCTGGTAACCTGAGGCGTTGTTGCCTCGATGTCCTCGGAGCCTTCTTCACTGAATCCTTTCATCACGTGTCGGGCCTTAGCCTTGCATGGCTCTTCAGAATCCCAGTCGAGAAGGATCCCTTCCTGTTTGGCTGGTTCGACTTCATGAGGTTCCAGTGGTTTTGGAGTGAGGACCAATCGGCTTTCCATGATTCGGTGTGGCATAGTTTGTCGAACCTTTGCTGACTCTTCTGGGGAAACAATGGAGTATGCCCCAATGTTGATGTTGTTGTTGAATTCCTTGCTGATTGCCGCCTTGAAGCATTTTTGATTCTTGACGCTGAGTTCCTGGAAGCGGATTTCCTTTTTCTGTCTTGTTTTCATCAGGCTGTCCACTTTGTTCAGGTAGATCTCCAGGTATTCATGCCTCAGCCGTTTCAAAGGCGGTTGGTCGTGTGGTTCTCCTTCATCAAATTCTCTTTTGTTGTTCTCGTCTATGGTGGGGTGTTCTTCTAGTTGTTCTCCTGGTCCTTCTTCAGCAGGAAGTTCGTCATGATCTTGTTCTCGCAGACCTTCTGCTGCAGGAAGTTGAGGAAGGTTTTCCTGTGGTGCCTTTGTTCGATACCTCTTTGCTGGAGGTGGATAACCAAGAGGCTCTTGAAGTCCGTCTAGTCCTGGAGCCATTGGAGGTGCAATCGGTTCATCTTCAGGAGGTTCGGATGGCTCATAGTCCATATCTTCTAGATCTCCATCGGCCAGTTCAGGAGGTAGAGGTTGGTCAGAGAGGTCAAGGAAGCCTCGAACAGGTTCCGTATGGAGGTCCTTTTTGATGCTGACAATGTCGTCAAGCCAACCGGAGAGAGCCATGTTCTCTTCGGATGATGCCCTCCGAATGCGTTCCGGACTTGCCTTGACTAGATTTGACTGGTACGCTAACCAGATAGTGCTGGGCTGGTCGATCATGATGATGCGAGCTGGTCCCTGCCAGTATCCAGGTTTGAACTTGAGCTTTTTGTCCGCTCCCATTCGATAGAAGTAGACGAGCTCGCCGATGTCGTAATCGAGGATCGGTCTTGGTCCTGATGAAATAGCTCTCCGCAGGGCGTTGTCGGCGTCGGCTTCGATGAAAGCCTGAGCTGCAGCCTTCCGAAGCTTCATGGATCTTTCGACGCTAAGGTCGCCGACTTTCAATGCTGGAGCATCTTCGCGAGTCCGATGTCCATCATCTCCATTTAGTAGCCCTCCTGGTAGGAATGGGTTGAATCCCAAAACACGTTGACATGGACTGAATCCTCCCACGTTCATCATACGGTTCTTTGTCATGGTGGTGAGGTCTACCATTTCTTCCCATTCCTGCATGTTCCCGCAGCTGTAGGTGTCCATGGTTTTCTCGAGAATGTATTTGAAAGTTTTTCCATGTCTTTCAGTGATGCCTCTTTGATGTGGTGCCTCCACAGCCGCTGGATCTATATAGGTTCCATCTTGTTCAACTTGTTCGGCGAAGGTACCGCGGAACTCACGTCCCAGATCCAGAGCCATTCTTTTTGGAGGTCCGAACAATCTCAGCCAGTGTCTGTAGGCTTCTCGAACTTGTCCTGGTTTCTTGTTGGGCAAGGGGATCATGAGTTGAAATTTGCTTGACCAATCTATCACGTTGAGTGCTGGCCTAGAGCGATTGCCCAAAGTTGGCAAGAAGACCACATCTACTCCAACACATTCGTTGAAGCTGAGTTCCTTGGGCGGCGCACTCCGTCGTGCGGGTCGAACTTGGGCATGTCGTTGACAGACACTACATTTCAGTCGTTTTGCTGCCTCAATGACCTCTGGCTTTGCCTTGGCATACCTAAGTATACGGGCAAATCGGTCCGGGCTTGGATGTCCCATTCCGACATGTGCTCGATGTAAAAGTCGGTCCATAGTGAATCGACGTTCCAGAGGTAGTGGTGCATTTGGTTGTTCATCGCCTTCCGGTTCATGGTCTCCTTCATCATCCTCACCTCGTGGTTCTTCAGCATGTAGTTCCCATGTTGGACCAGGTAGAACGCTTTCGACTTGATCTGATCGTCCTGGATCGGCTTCGCTTAGGTGAAGTTCATGTCCAGGGACTTGTGGAGCATATAGCGTAGTTCCCTGATCTCCGTCTGGTCGATGTCCTGGGTGTAGTTCATAGTCAACCAGTAGTTCCACTGTCAGTAGTGAGTTCAGGCGATCATTCTCCAGGAACATTTGTTCAGAGGTGATGATACCTACCTCAGCTCCAATCGAGCGTGAGTAGGCCGCGAGGATGGCTTCCCGAAGACCTTCCGGATAAATCTGTGCTTTCTTGGACTTGTTGCCACCAATGATGACTTCACGTTGATGGTCGCCAGGGCATAGAGCGTTCAGGGCCTTGGCGATCTCGGGGCTGTTGGTGGCGAAACCAGTCCGTTTTCTTTGGGGTTGGCCAGATTCTCCACGGAGTCCGTATTGGCATTGGTCTGCCTTCGTGTACACTACGTTCGGTTTGGAAAGGAGCTGCTCCATGGCACGGTGTTTCCAGGAGGAGGCAGCGTGAGGATGTTCCAAAAGGAACTTGATGCCCACGTGATCGCACAATTCGCACAACTGCAGAGCAAACAACAAAAGTTGTTCTCCTTCCGACTTCCTCTTTAAATACTTTTGGAGAAGAGCAGGAACTCGTTCTCGTTTGTTTTTAGACAGGTTTTGCAACTGTGAGTACATTTCACATGGTGGTGCAATGCAAACCAGTCCAGGCCTAACGTCTTTCACATACTGCACGACTTCGTTTCGTTTGTTTGCTTTCAACAAATCACAATCCAACTTCAAGTCAAAAGCGCGTCCAGAATTGAGGTTGAAGCGGTGCGCAATTTCTCCAAAACAACCGGGATTATAGATCTCAGCCACAGTTCTCAGTTGTTTATGTGAAAGTCCCATGATTTCAGCAATCTGATGTGTCCTTTTCGATCCGTTAGGGTGCAGAGTAAACTCCTTGCAAAGTTCATCATTAAAGCTGCAAATCCAGTCTCGCAGTTTCGCATCTCCATCCTGCGTTTCTGCGAGGATGTACTGGATCTGTTTCCAAAAAGCCACAGCCTTCTTTAAGGCCGCCCGGAGCTTTCTTTCAAGCTTTGGGGTCATTGGCTTGAAGGGCCCTTCATTCGGCGCCAGCGCAGGAAGTCCATGAAGTCCTGGTAGTCCTCCGGTTCGGTCATTCCTTCCTGAGGTGATGTTGGCGTTGGAGTTGACGGACAAGGTGGTGCCTCTGAAGGACTGCTGGGAGAAGCCGTCTCCGTGACCACAGTTTTCTTTTCTTGCCGGATCACCTTGTTGCAGTAGCGGCAGGTCACCTTGGTCAGGAAGGCGTTGGATCCCTTCCGATGAGTTGATGAGTGTGGACAAATTTCTTGAACCATTCCCTCCAGCACCTCTGCATAGGACTTGGGCTTCTCGCCTGGTTGTTGGCGGTATTTCCAGCTGGTCACATCTTTCAATGGCTGGCATGGGGTCCATTGTTTGAACTCGCGCTGTTGTCCCGGGTACTTCGGGCACCGAAAGTAGATCTCCTCCTCGTGGTTGGTCTCTGTACTCAGGTAAATCTTCACCTGTAGGCCGCATCGGCAGCGAGGTCGGGGTCCGGTCAGCATATCGATGCCTGGTAGGCTGTCGATCTGGTCGCAGCGCTGAGTTCTCACCAAGGTCGCATTCAGAACCTTCTTCTGGGATCCGTCCGAGCGTTGTTCCGGATCGCTGATCATGACGAAATTGTCCGACAACTCGACACGACGTTTCATCTCGTTCTTGGCCATCTTGGTCACGTGGTGGAGGTCCTCGTCGGACATGCTCTCGATCAGGCGTGTCAGAACTCGGCGTTGGGACTGTGCTCCCATGATGGTCTCCAAGAGATGTTCGAACAGGTACTGCAGTGGCATGAGCACAACCAGCAGCCGACGAGTCAATTGGGTCCAGGCTTTCACAGCCTTGTCCTCCGGATTCAAGGTCTCCGGTGGAGCAGGTCGGCTGCGCTTCTGGCCGGTGTTCTGCATGGCAGGCGAAAGAAACCGATGAGATCGATGCCGGGATGTCTTGAGTTCTGTTGGGCTCCGGCGGTTTCATGCACTGTTCGTTCAATTTCAGGACCTCGAATTCCGGGAGCGAAGTTCCTAACTGCTCGGATTGGGCTCGTTGAAGTGCAGTCAGTTGGAGTTCCGTGAACTGTTGAAGTGGAATTCGAAGGGCTCCGGTCGGTCCAAGATGTAAGGGGACTGGTTCGTGGTTCCCGCGAAGTCGGAGCTGGAGACCTTTCTCAAGACACAACCCTATATCACCATGACAATGAAGGAGGAAGCTGAGGGACAAGAGGAACGGTGCGTTGGTGCTCTCGTCGCTGTCGAAGACCGCTGGTTTCAGGAGACTGCCTTTCAGTCCCAGTGAACTGGGAACACTGGCTACCTGGGTGGTAATCGAGGTTTTGTGGACGCTCCTGAACTTGTTGGTCTCGGGATGAATGGTGATCTTCAGGCCAGGTGGTAGATGTTCACTGAACTTCCTCAGGGTCGTTGCTCCAATTGCCAATCTCTGGCATCCAGTGTCAACGGTGGCGCAGGTAGCGTCGTCGGGGGTTAGTTGGGAGTACTGGGATACCAGATCGCAAAACATGTTTTCATAGAAAAACAAACTGCTAACACCCAAATGGCCGTTCTCACCTATTCCCAAACCCAAAACCATGTCACTCTCCGTATATGACCGAGCGGTCGAGCAGTGGTTCGAGGCAAAAGCTACATCTGTACAGTCTGCATGGCCTTCGATTGAAGTCCTCAGGATGCGCGGTTCAGGTGTTCTTGTCCGGGTCATCTCAAAAGGCGAGGAGCTGGTTGGTACATTGCTGGAGAGGTTCTTGTCGATGAACTCTTCCGTCTCCAGGCTGCCCACAAAATGCACCTCGGGTGTGTTTTCCAAAAGGTGGGTCTCGTTCGTTCGAGATGCGCCCATCGATGAGGAGCTGCCTGGTTTCATGGGAGGATTCTTGCAATCTTGTTTCCAGTGGCCGATCTGGCCACATTGTCGGCAGCGGGTCCTCTTCTGCAGCTCGGCAATCGTCATGGAGTAGGATCCTGGTCGTAGAGGTCGGTCTCGATCTCCCCGAGTCGAACTGAAGTTCGGTCGTCGACCAACTCCATAGCCTCGGGCGAGTTCCTTGGTTTTCTTGTCCTTGATCGACTGAGTATAGGTCTTCCTCTGCTGGAGGTAGGTAGAGAGGATCTCGGCCGCCTCCGATTCACTCAGGGCGGTCTCTTCTGATTGCCCTTCATCCTGGAGCTCCATGATGTAGTGCTCGATGTTTTCGATCTCCTCCTGGTCGGTGCCATTACCCTCAATGACCTCCTCTGTGGCATAGACTCCGTCATACTCAGTGTGGAAAGCGCCGGCTGCCTTCTTCCGGTCGGCCCCAAGCTCTGAGGCAGACAACTTTGTTTCATTCTTTCTCAACCAGCTCTTGATGGAACTGGGTTTGATGCAGCCGTGGGTGTAATTCAGCAAGGCCTTGGTATCGCTCTCGGTCAGCTGCAGCCCATTGATCATCAAGAAGCCTTCATACTCGGGTGGAAGCACGATCTTGTGTTGTTGAACTTTCCGAATGGCGTTGTCCCACTTGGCGAAGTATTCCCTCCAGGACTCTGTCTTCTGCCTCCGGAGGTGGTAGGTGATGCGGGACATGGCCGTCAGCATGTGCTCCTGCTGGTCATCTCCGAAGCGTTCAGGCTTATCCATGTCTTCAAGAAGACGTTCAGCACCTCGTGGATCTCCGAGCCAAACAGGATCTTTTGCCCAGTGCTTGTAAAGCTCGAAGGGTGCTCCTGTCAACATCTTCAACAAGAGAGGCCCTCGCGACTTGGCCTTGTCCTTGGTCGTCGCGATCCATAGTTGAGCCTTGATGTGATAGTCCTCGAATGGGGTCTGTCCATCCCATGATGGTGGAGGTCCGGAAGCCCCTCTTCCTTCTCCACTATCATCACCTTCTTCTTCTTCTCGCTCACGGCGGCGCCTATGACGTGTCGGACCGCGGCCTTCTTCTCTCTCCATCTGGAGAAAGCGTTGGAACCGAGCGAAGGCTTCCCGGTCACTCCCTAAAACGTCCTGCGCGCCCTGAGCCCCCGTGGAGCCAGCAGCTGGCGAGCCGCCGCCTGGCGGTTCATCCAAGTCGCCATCCGAAGGTGGAATGGCCTGTCTATCGGCCATTCAAAAACCTAGACGGGATGGGGGCTGGTGACCACCAAGAAAAAGAGTCGAACCCAAACCAGCCCGGTCGGAACCGGGCTCCGCTACCACTATGAAATTGGGGGAACCGCAACAGACCCAACAAGCAAGAACAAGACTCTTTTTCCGGTGGACACAAAGCCCCCATCGAGTCTCTGGCTCCTAAGTGCTTGCCTTGAGTCGAGCGTGGGCGTCCAGTGCATTTTCACAGAAACAATTCCGTCCCAGCCTATCTGTCTGTCAAACTTCTAGCCAATTGGATAGTGGCTATGACTATGAACCATCCAGGATGCTGACCTTAACCATGTTTCACTTTGGGTTCACCTGACAAATTGAAAGAAAAGGAAAGGATGATGAAGGATTAGAAAGGAGGTCTTAGAGACTCCCAGGCCGGCCTGTTGCACCTTGCGCAAGCTCAGTGGACCCCAACCACCATCCACAGAGGTCACCTGTATGGTGGACTGAACTACTCCGAAAACAACTCCATTGAACAACATGTCTTTTTTGGAGCCCATCGTTATTAAGTTGGAGGCCATCGCTATTAGGTTGGAGGCCATTGCTAGTTGATGGTCGTTTTTGGAACGGACTGCTAGTGTGTGGAGTTTGAGAGCGCTCCAGCCTGTGCACCGATGATGTTCACACGCGGAGCAACAAGAAGACCTAATCATGGTGGAATCATGAATACTGATGAATTCACATCTGATTTGCAATATCATAAAGAAAACCATCTGGAACCTGAAATGGGGTTGGGGTATTTTGAGTTAATCCTTAAACAAAATACTTACACATGAACATAAAAGTAACGCATCCAAAAGCCCTAAAACCGTCAAACAGATTCGCTATCATTCGCTGTTTTGGCACCGGCCCTTCCTGGGGATGCTGCGGAAACGCATCCCACAAACCCGCCCATGGCAGCGACCGAGGCTTTGGCTCAGTCGGACGCCGCTGCCATCGGTGACTGCGTAGCAGTCGTTGTCTGCTGCCTCAAAGACAGATTCTCCAAGCACAACGATGGAACAACAGAAGGCACTTCTGCTTAAGTTCTTAAACAAATGTTTTAAAAGTTCGGACTTCGCCAGCACCAATCTTCTAGCAACCATGAACCATGACATCATGAACTTCAATCCTCCGCAGTTTGCGACATACGCACAAGCTGAATGGGGGCTTGCTGCTCTGCCTCCAGGTGGAATTCGTTGAGGCCAAGGTCAAAAGTCTCCTCAACAATAGACCCCCTTTTCCAATGAGGTTTGATCATGTCACGAATCTTGTCAATCCTACATCCTTTGAGTCCATAGTTTCACAGTTTTGCGTGCCGTCGTCTCGGCTGATGACGCCTTAGAACCTTGCAGCCATTTTCTTGTTTTCAAACGCAATTCTGCACCTGATCAGTTTGGGCATCAGTGCACTCTGATTGAGAATAGCCGGCCTCAAAGGACGGCAGTTGCGACTGCAATTACTGCAGCTGCAATTGCTGAATCCACGACATGGTACTTGTTCGCCCACTTGGATGTGGGCGGAACGGGCTGTCTCGTTCTCCGTGGCGGACATCCTCGGCACTTTTCCATCTCAATGCTGCGCAAGAATACCCAGCCAAAGAATCTTTATATATATATATAGATAGATCTTGTAAGTAGATCTTGTAATTCAATAATTATATAATTACTATTACAATTCTATATAGGCGATAAAATGTTGCTCTGTAGGCATTCTTTCCCAGTTGGAACAACTTTGGAGGTGGCTCAAGCCACAAGTTCAGGATCCTCGGTTCAGATTGAAACCGGGAACAGTCTGCGAAGCCTAAATAAAAACAACTTGTAATTGCTCTACACCTCGTACCCGTACCCGAAAGATCCAAAAATGTTCTAGCAGATTCTGGCACTTGTTGAGGGTCAGTTACTTGTCAGTGCCAATTTCACAAGAGCTGGACATTTGATTAGGACCAAGGATTTTATCACAAAATGCACCAACTCCAAGAACGATACTGATCCAACTGCTACGTAGCTTCACTTTGTGGGTGAGCGTCGGATCGGTCACCAGGATCGGTGACCAATGTGGTCGGATCGGTCGCCCCGGATCGGTGACCGCAAAACACGGATCGGTGACCACAAAACACGGATCGGTGACCGGATCTGACGGATCGGTCGCTCGGTCGCCAGGATCGGTCACCGAAGGTATAGCGAAAACAAGTGAAACAAAGAAAGCCGACCATACCGGATCGGTCGCCAGGATCAATCACAAGAGAGGCCTAGGGAAGGAAGGCAACGGAAAAAAAGAACAACCACACCGGATCGGTCGCCAGGATCGGTCACCGGAGAGGTCTCGGGAAGGTCAGGAAAACAAACCAAGCCAACCAGACCGGATCGGTCACCAGGATCGGTCACCAGAGGTGTAGGGAAGGCAAAAGAAAAGATACCAAACCAATCATACCGGATCGGTCGCCAGGATCGGTCACCAGAGAGGTCTAGGAAAGGCAAGGAAAACAAACCAACCTACCACACCGGATCGGTCGCCAGGATCGGTGACCAGAGAGGTCTAGGGAAGGCAAGTCAAGGAAAACAAACCAAACCAACCATACCGGATCGGTCGCCAGGATCCGTCACCAGATATATAGGTCTAGGGAAGGCAAGGAAAACAAACCAAGCCAAACACAGCGGATCGGTCACCAGGATCGGTCACCAGAGAGGTGTAGGAGAGGTGTAGCTACGGAAAAGAAAAAGAAACAAAACAACTGTGCCGGATCATACGGTGAGTCCAGACTTTTTTCCTCAAATTTCTTAAACTCACGAAACGGGTTATTGGCGTGCAAGACCGAGGAAAAATACCAACCACACCGGATCGGTCGCCAGGATCGGTCGCCATCGAATTATATATCGTGGGAGACGGAGGAAAAAATACCAACCACACCGGATCGGTCGCCAGGATCGGTCACCACAGAGGTATTGTGTAAAACACAAATCTACTTAAACAATTTCTGCTGCTTAGTGGGAGTGCATAACAAATACCAGGCTTACTGGATCCTATACCGTCGCAGTAAAATATCGGCTTTGGGTTTTTGACAGTATACCTTAGTGTTGAACACCGCTCTGCTCGGACGCCTTTTCATTCCCCACCTACCTTCATGTGAAATTAAGAAAAGGCCCTCTGTTTAAACAAATCGTGTTTTATTTCCATGGTTTCGCAAGCATTGAACAGAACCACTTACCAAGGCCTTTCAATGCCTTGCTTGAATCACGCGTATGAGGCAGGTAGAGCAAGCCTTCAGCCTATCCCATATGTACCACTATAGGGCCCCATTTGGTCCCTCAACCTCTCGATCTTGAATCGCAATATTGAACCAATCCCAAAATTGCCGGAGCGAAAAGTCCTGCCGCTGGCTCTCCATTTAGGCCAGCTCAAATCCAAAGTTTGGCGGCAAAACGTTTGAAATGCCGAAGCTGTGAAGCTTTACTGGTGAGAAGATCCGCTGCGCTCAGAGATGCTCCACGCAACACTGAAGGCCTGCCCGTCCAGCGCACTCCCGAAGCGCCAGCGGCGCCGCGCTCACAAGTAGCGCACGGCCTGCCAAATGTTCTTTGGCACGTCTGCAGTCACCACCTGTCGACATGTCGAGGCTGCACTCACTGCACGGTATGAACATTCCCTTAGAGACACTATTATGCAGGGTACATTATGCCTTAGCTGTCTTAGAGACACTAGGTGACATGGCGGCTGTCTCAACATAGTTCCTCGAATTTGGATCGTTTTAGGGGCGCAAGCCAAGCCACCTTCACCATGGACATGAAGGGTTGTCTGTTAGACTTCTTGAAATGGTCGTTGTAGCAATCCCACAAACCCCAACCCTAAAACCTAACCCTAAAAATCTAACCTTACAGCCTAGTAGTAGTAACAGTATAACAGTGACACGAGTAATATTAGAAATGGTAGTCGTAGTAGTCGTAAAAACCCTTACCCTAAAACCTAGCCCTAAAAAACTTAACCTTACAACCTAGTAGTAGTTGTAGTACTAGTAGCAGCAGCAGTGGTAGTATCGTAGTAGTAATAGTAATGGAAGTAAAAGTATAATAGTGATACTAGTA